CTTGCCCTGCCTTAATACAAGGGGAGGTGCTTAGTCCTACCGCAACTTGGTATGCCATGCCTTGTTGATACTCATGGGAAGCCTGCCCCTTTCTGAACAGAAACAGAGAGGAGTAGATGGAGATAGAGGGAAGGAGAAGGAGAGGGAATGGGAGGAGAGGAGGGGGAGGGAACCTGTGGTCAGGATGTAAAATAAATAAATTAATATAATTTAAAAAGAAAAGGAAATGGCCCCATAGACTCCTATATTTGAATGCTTAGTCCACAGTTGGCAGAGCTTTTTGGGCAGGATTAGGATGTGTGGCTTTGTCAGAGGTGTGTCACTTGGGGTGGGCGTTGAGATTTCAAAAACCCATACCATTACCAAATCGCTTTCTCTCGCTGCCTACACCTTCTGCAAGATGTAAACTCTCCGCTTCTGTTCCAGTGCTATGCCTGCCTGCTGCCATGCTTTCTGCCATGATGATCATGGACTCACCTTTTGAAAACTGTAGGCAAGCCCCCAATTAAATGCTTTCATTTATAAGTCATCTTGGTCATGGTGTCTCTTCACAGCCATAGAAAAGTAATAAGACCTCTGATGCCAGGTCAGGACCCTGCACAGTCATAGGCTGCTCTCTTCACAGCAGTCACTTAGTATCAAGCTTCTCTCTTATGACTGTCTTCTTCAACCTTTTTTTTCCTAATTCCCCACAAGGAGGTCCTAAGAATCCATCCTAGGGTGGGAAAGTCTAAATTGTAGTGGAGTAGCAGACTCCTGGAGATGTCAGAAATGTGGAACATTTACTAAAGAAAGCTATAGATGAGTGGGTCACATGTGCCACAGGCAAACAGATCTGGAAGTGCAGGGCTATCCAAAGCTACTAGAGCACAAATAATGCCAAAAAGAGCTCCAGATGCTGAACATGGAGCTGCAGGACTCAGCATTTGCACTGCTGTATTTTAGTATGGATGTTCCAACTGCTAGAGGCATAATGTCAGCTTCCTGAAGCTTCTGGTTGGAGAATCAGACATCTATCAAATTCTCTTGCGGTTTTCCCAGCACACTCATTAGCACAAGCTGTATTCAAATTGGAAAGAAGAAGCCAAGTAATTCGGCACTGGCCCTCAACCAGCACACCGTCAGGCTGTGAGAATGTTGTAACAGGAAGCCTCACTCCTAGCTCCTTCTAGGTTGGCAGGGAAGCCTAGTTTGTTTGGGTTGTCTGAGGATGTGGAGCCACAAAAGAGAACTAGGGCAGAGGCATCCTGGGTACTGAGCCCACAACAGGTAGCACAAATCCCACATTCATTACCCTGGAGGCCCCATCCTCCAGGATGTACCCCCACATTCCCTTATCCTGAAACTACACTGTACCTGCTCACATGTATAGGGGCAGGGAAGTCCTTACCTGGCTGAAAGACTATAGGGGTACTTTTGTTTGTGTGGTGTGTATGTATGTGCACATAAGTGTGTGGGGATGCACACCTATGTGTGTGCATATGGAGGCCAGAAGTTGACATAAAGTTTCTTCCTCTTATTCTCCACCTCTTATTTTCTCTCAGTGAACCTGAAGTTCACTGGTTGGTTTGACTGGATGGTCAGTGAGCCTTGGGGATCTTCCTGTTTTTTCCTCTTAGCATTTGGAGTCCTGCACCACCACATATAGCTTTTTATGTGAATGTTGAGAATCCAAAATTCAAGTCTTCATCATGGATAGCAAGCACTTTATTCACTGAGCCATCTCCCCAACCTCAAGGTAAAGCTTCATCAGAATCTTCTCAAGAAAATGGGGGACAGCATTGATCATGGGAGAACAGGCTGTCCCTGACAGAAGAAAGGGGAGATCTTTTAGTAAGCTGCTGGGACGTGAAAGGAACAAGTAACTTTCCAAAGGTCATGGGTATGGTGTTTTAAAAGAAATTTCTTCTCATAAGACACAGACTAGGGGCTAGTTTGTTCTTGGGGACCTGATGGTATTCCCAATCTTTACAATGAGGAGAGGGGAGGGAAAGATACATTTCCTACTATTAGTAAAAATGGTTATAGGTTAAGACTCAAGATCTACTTCTTGTCACCAGAGTAGTCACTATCTCATCTGGAGGGTCAGACAACCTTAACCATTCTTCATGTAGGATCCTCTGGTTTGAATTTGAGTGACAGCTCCAGGATCTCAAGAAATTTCTTACCATGCAAAGTTATATAGTGTTTAATCATGTGTATACTGCTCATATGATGGGTCAGCATGGGTGGAGGGTGGATATCCTGGTCTTTCCTTTCTAAGGCTGCCTCTTCCTTAGCAGGGCTTTGTCCACACCATGGCCAGCTCCTCACTCATGCTTTCCTCATCAGCTATCCATTCACCACTTCCTAACAATCAGTTCTGAATGAACAAGAAGGAAGTAGCAAAGGACACAAACCCGCAGAAAACTCCCTCTAGACACCCACTCTTTAGCCAGCCCTAGAGCTTCTGTTCCTTCTGCAAGTGTCCTGGATGGGCAGGGCCCGGCTGTGATGTGACTGTACTGCCCCCATGTGGCCAGCTGAGCAAACCCATGGGGGCATAGAAGATAAACATTCTTCAGCTCAGTGGTTTTCCTACAGCAGGCGTCCTTGCTTTCTCTGCTAAGGGCTGGAGTCTGTGCTGGGCAATTTGGTGTACTAGAGGCACAGAGCACTGATTCTCTTAAGGTAGGCACCTGCCTTGCTATTGGCCCTCCTATATACCATGAGCCACTTCCTTCCTGGCCTTTGAAAGAACAGCAAAGTCCCCACTCCACAAACAGACCCCAGTTCACTTACCACTGTGCCTCCCTCAGGTGGAACCCTAACTACAGGCCATTTTGAATTTCTGAAAGCAACCCAGCCAAATCATACCCAGCTCAGGTCAAGAATCCAAGCTTAAGCCTTCCTAATAACAGCACTGGGCCCTAGCAGGTACTCTACTCAAGGTTATGGCACAGACACACCCAGATATGTGGCACAGGTACTTCATTCTTGGGTGTGGTACACTCCCAGATGTATGGTACAAGCTCACACAAGTGTAATCAAGGCATTCCATTCTCATGTGAAGGCATGTGGAACAGGTAGGTTTTTCAGGCATGTAGTGAAGGTATTCAGATATGTGATACAGAAACTCAGGAGTGTAGTGCAGGTTTTGGGTAGGCTTTCAGGTGTGCAGTGCAAGTATTCAGGCATATGAAGCAGGGACTCAAGTATGGTGTGTGGATTCAAGTACTCAGATGTGTGCAGCAGAGCCTCAGGTGTCTTTGGGTGGGTCCTCAGACACACAGTACAGGTGCTCAATTATAGGAATCAGATACTCACATGTGTAGAGCAGTTTCTCAGTGTATGGTGTGGGGGTACTCAGGACTGTGGAGCAGGACCTAAGGTGTATTGTTGGTGCAGGTACTCAGAAGTGTGATACAGTGTCTTAGTTACAGTTTTCATTGTTGTGAAGAGACACCATAACCATGGCAACTCTTATAAAGAAAACATTTAATTAGGGTGGCTCACTTACAGTTTCAGAAGTTCAGTCCATTACCATCATGACAGGGAGCATGGTGGTGTGCAGGCAGATTAGGTGCTGGAGCTGAGTGTTTTATCTTGAAGGCAACAGAAAGTCAACTGAGACACTGGGTGGTATCCTGAGCATAGGAAACCTCAAAGCCTGTTCCCACAGTGACATACTTCCTTCAACAAGGCCATACCTACTCCAACAAAAAAAAACACATCTAGTAGTGCTACTCCCTTTGAGATTATGGGGATCAATTACATTCAAAGTACCCACATAAAGGTACTCAAGTATGCAGTGCAGGCACTAAGGTATGCCATGAAAATGCTCATGTGCAATGCAGGTACTCAGATATGTGGTACTCATATTTGGTCTATGTATACATGAACAGGTGAGCACAGGAGCATGAAGCATTGGGGTCCTGCCAGTTGAGACTGTAAGAGGATGGTTGCAGACAGGTCTGGGAGGGAGCAGAGTTGACTGGTGGCTATAAATGGAAGATGAGTCCAAGTAGTAGCCTTCACACAGATGGTGGCATCGTATACCAGACTTCACTGTGTATTGGTTGACCTCACTGAATAGGGTCATTTGCTAGTGTGGGTCAATGTCTGGGAGATGACCAACATGAATAGATCCTTAGAGCACACCCAGAGACTCCCATAATGGGATCACAAGGTCAAAGCCCAAGAGGCAACACAACTTTGCCACCACAGAATATAGCCCCTTCCCTCTGTGGTCCTATAAAACAGATACCACAGGAAACAAACCCTCAGAGGCATCCTTGGCCAGGAGAGGACCTCAATGGATGTTTCTCATCCCTAACACCTACCCAATTGTCTTCATAACCCTACCCCTCCTAAAGCAAAATCTATTTCCTTTAAGCAGAGTTGACAAGCTGGAGACATGAAGGGGTTCCTAACCCCAGAGCTAGTATAAGGTAATTTAACATGGTTCTTATCTCTGGTTGGTTAAACCTCATCTTCCTAGCCCATCTATCCTGCTTGTCTGTTCAACGTAATTTCATGTAGAAGAGTACATGTAAGACAGTGAATTTGGGGACATAGATGTTGAAACACAGTACAAGAATGGAGTCATGTGAGAATTCTGGTGCTTGTGAGAAAACTCCAAGAAAACAAGTCTTGTGATCTCAGTTTCTTCAAAACACAGAATCGTTCTTGGAGTGTGTGTTCATGCTCCTCCCAAGTGCGGCAGATGGGAGTGAGTTTACTTCAGCTGTTGTTACTCATGTGCCTCTATGGAAAACATGTTTTTGCCACATGTGGCTTGTCCTTGTGATTGAACACCTTTCTCATGTGATTCTTCTTAACCCTCAGAGTGTAAATTGTCTTATGCTCTAAAGAAAGTTGGCTATTGCATGAGACTTTAGTCTGCCTCACTTTAGACCCCACTCTCCCAGGTTCACACCACCATCTAGAGCAGAAACATTGGGTACATTTCTTCTACCTGTTTTATTTAAAAAAAAAAAAAAAGCCAAGAGTAGGCAACAGTCTGTATCATTACTTTATTGTTTATGTTACATATTCCAATGAATACATAAACTCTTTTTTTAAAAAAGTAAGGCACATGAAAAGCCTTCTGTGCAAGTTCCATATTATTTTAAAATCCTATTGGCTAATAAAAGCATTTCAACTACAGAATTAGAGACATCTAGAAGAGAACATGATAGTTTGAGAGCAGAATCCCGAACCATTATTAGGTTTCACCTCATGGCACAATTAGTCATCAAACCCAAGGTTTGTATTATAACAGTGTAGCTAGGGTGCCACTACAGAATCACTAACCAGCTTATTCACATATGTACAGCCAGGTCCCCAAATAGTAATTATACAGCCTACAGGAAGAACAGCATCTAACCGCACTTGTGCCCTGTTTCATCACAGGTAAGGGATTTGGCATTTTCAGTCTTTTTGCACGCTGTGCTTGCTGTTCACAGGGCCTGGTTATACGATGCTGAAGACCATGGAGAGATATTGCTCATAAGACACCTGAATCCAGCCGTCCTGATCCGTGTCATAGCGTCTGAATATGTCTGTCAACCTCTGGGAGAAGCATAGACATTGAGAATTTACTGGACAGAACAGTATACTTAGATAAAAGACATTTTAAAAAGACATTTGGGGACCCAATTTCAGAAACACATCCATTTCCCTCATCTCTTAGAAGGATACTGCAATGGCATTCACACAGGAAAGCACAGGGGTAGTCTTGAGCACCTCTAGTCAGTGCCTCTATGGGCAACAAAGGGTATGGCAGGCCTAGCCAACTATATACCACATAGACCCTTCTTCACATTTCACAACCATCTCATGGACCTGGTCTGTGTAGCCTGGACAGAGACACTTTGAATCTTGACTATATACCCAAAGAGTCCATGTGTTGAAGGGCCCAGTAGGGAAAGGGCCAACTACATGCAGTGTATAAGCATCACAGGGCTCAGCCTCCTTAGCCCATCTCCCCTCCAGCAGACTTTGGACCCAGACAGGTCAGAAGTAGATGAGCAAGACCATTTTATTCCATTCATTTTGTTGTTATTTGTTTTATGTTTTTGAGACAGAGAACCACTATGTTTATTATCAAGGGCTGGCCTGGTCTGCCCTTGAACTCAGAAATCCATCTGTCTGCCTCTAGCTCCAGAGCACTGGGTGCTGGGATTAAAGGCATGGTGCTATCATGCCCAGATTTCACTCACATTTTGTAAGACTAGGTTACATGCATGCCAATTTTGAATAGACTTATGAAGACCATAAGTATGTTCTCAGTATTTCTAATGAAAACAAAACAAAACCAAAACAGACACAAGGGAATTCCATGTGTTAATAGAAAACAACAACCTCAGCACATCAAGACTCAACAGTTCATGGTCTACTTCCTACTTTAGACATGAATGGTTTTTTTGTGGGAAAAAAAAAGCAAGGTGGTGTCACACACTTGAATCTCAGCACTGAGGCTGAGGGAAGACTGTTCAAGACCATCCTGGCCTACATAGCAAGAGTCTGTCTCAATGTTCCCTACTCTCCACAAAATACTATTATCACAAAACAAACTACAGTCATGTGGCCACAAAACTATGTCTTGGTCAGTGATGGACTATAAGACACTACAATCTGAATCTTAAACATCTGCTTAAAAAACAAAAACAAAAACAAAAAAACCATGTGTTGGGAACTCTATCTAAACATGGTATGTTAGGGAAGTGGTGCCTAGTGGGAAGAAATTAGGCCACTAGTGGTGTGCCCATGAAAGGGGTATTGGGACTCCAATCACCTTCCTGTCTGCCTGCCACAAATCCCCAAAGCAACAGGCCAAATCTGGACTAAAGCTTCTAAAATTGTGAACCTAAATCTTATTTCTAATTGATTTATGTCATTTTTTTTAATAGTAAGAGAAAGAAAGCTAACACAGTGGCTATACCATACAATACAGTTCACATGTATAACAGGTTCTGCCATCCAGAGTATGTGCAAGCACACTCATGTTTGCACAATAACCTCACCTAATAACACATCCTCCAGAACATGTCTCTGTCAGTGACAAATGACTGTAGAAAAGAGTAAATTTGCCTAACCTGTACAAGGCTCTAGTTTCAATCCCAGCACCATAAAACAAAACACAAAGAATAATGAATTACTGAGAGTGCTGGTTCAAGTCTATAATCTCAGAACTTGGGAGGTGGAGGTAAAAAGACCAGGAGTTCAAGGCCACCCTCAGCTACACAGGGAAAAATCAAAGCCAGCCTGGGCTTTTTAGAAAAAAAAAAAAAAGAAACACATTTCTGAGGAAACTTTTACCTATATCATACATTGTTCTCTTTCCTTTTAGATTCTCCACCATTCTAGCATTTTCAGTCATTTTCCCAAAGGTAAAATTGATCCAAGAAACTGGCTGTCCACCCTACCCCACACCTCAGGAGACAATACCAACAGAGTACAAGGCGTACAGAGTGGAGAGCTTCTTCTGGACTTGACTAGATTACCCAGGAGGCTGAAAAAATAAAAAACCCCAAACCTTTGCATATCCAGAAATGTAAGGATCAGAACTTAACTTATGTGAACTCTAACTTTATAATAATTCAGACACAATCTATGAGATTTCACATCAAATCTCTTTTTAAAGTGCTCAGAGAACACTGTAAGCATCCCTAACCTCATGAGAGAGTAGTAGCAGAGGTAGTTTCTTTCAGAGACTTGAAGCTTGAATACTAATAGACCAGTTATCCAACAGGATGAAGAACAGGGGGTGACATGCCAAGATCTTTTTGTTTGTTTGTTTAAGACAGGGTACTTACTGTTATGTAGCCAGGCTTTGCCTAAAACTCATGAGTCTTGTTGCTTCAGGCTCCTGGAAGCTAGGATTATAGGCCTACACCATACTAGACCCAGAATGACTTTTTTAAAGATTTATTTTTGTTTTATGTGTATGGGTGTTTTGCCAGAATGTATGTCTATGCACCATGTGCACTCATTGCCCATGCAGGCCAGAAGAGGGTATTGGATCCTCTGGAACTGGAGTCACATATGGTTGTTAGCTACCATGTGGGCACTGGGAATCAAACCTGAATCACCTACAAGAGCAGCCAGTGCTCTTTACTGCTAAGTCATCTCTCTAGGCCCTCAGATTCATTTTTTAAGAAATCATGCAGCATTGTAACTAGCAATCCAATCAGTGGAGATACACTTTTATTGACTTTGAACTAGAACAATACTCTGAGAATATTTTCCAAAATTTTACATTGTATCTCAAGGCTTAATGCTGTCCACATCTCTCAGTGGTTCTGTAACCAACGTAAGTGACCTCAGCCTAGGTTCAATCTCTAAGGACTTACCTCTTAATGACAGGTTCCACTGAAGTATTAATGGAGAAAACATTTGCTTTCTATGAACTGAATCTACTTTAGATAAAGGGGCCAGAGCATGGATGTGTCACATATAACCCACTTTGAGCTAACTGCTGTGAAGTATGATCATCATACTGTTACCTCTGTTGCTACTTTTTGTTTGAAAATTTCTATAGCAAAAATCTTAATATACATAAGGACTAATCAATGCACCATATTTCCAAAGCTTAAACCTACAGAACCTGGACCTCTATCTAGAAGCAATAGCAGAGCCTGCTTCTTTGACAGGAACATGCACTAAGCAATGAATGGGTGTCTGCATGCCCTAGAGTTTGCTTATCATGCCTAGATAGCATAGGTCATCAAATGATTGGCTGCTTGGCACAATCAAGGGGTCACAGCAAGGATGGAATATTGGAGGCTAATGCTGGTATAACAATGAATGCTCTTTCCAGTACTTCTTTGTATTTTTTTTTAGTAAGTAGAAGGTATATATACTGTAGCGATAAAAAGTAAAGCATATGGTTCACAGCTATAATTTATTATTTTGAAGATAAGTTCAAAGGCAGCATAGGCTACATAGTGAATTTAAAGCCAGCCAGAGATATAGAGACCTTGTTTTAAAAAATAAATAGTATTACATAGTATTTCAATTATATAAGTCAAATATTATTGCCAAGAACTATGTACTATATATAAACATATTGCTAGACTTACGTATGACTAGCATGAAGGTTCGTCATACCAGCTTTACCATAAAAATAAAATGTCTTATGCTATGATGTCATAACAGCTGTGACATTAATAGGAAACAGACATTTTCCAGGTCATTATAATCTTATGGGACAACTACTGAAACATCACTGTGAGGCAAATGATCCTAGTTCCAAGGGTTAAAAAAAAAAGTATTTCTAGCTCTAAAACTTAAACAGAAGGGAAGTACTCACTCTGGTGGCTCCTCCATTTCTGCCCCCTACTCCCACCTCTGCATGTCACAGCAAACCCATATGAAGCTGCTCGGTCACCTGCAAGACGATACAGCCCTGGATGAAGTCATCAAATGCAATCTGCCCTCGTCCTTGTCTGTCAAATTTTCTGATGAGGATGTCATGGAACTGATCAGAGAGCCGGTAGCCTTGGAGAGGGAAGATAAGAGTCAAGACAGGCTAGGAGAGGAATAAAGCATGAGTTACACCTTATATTGGCTAAGCTTTCCTTCTTAAGACCCCAAGGCTTCAGATCATACAGTGATTAGGTAGGAATTAGAGATTAAAAAAAAAAGTACAAACTTACTGAAAGGCACTCTGGAAACTAAATAACTACTTAAATACAATATTCTGATATAAATATGCTGTCAGAACTGTGGAGTGATCTTACATACCAGTACCAACTTGCAAGTCTAAGTAGGAACAGAATGTGCTGCTTGCTGTCTTGCTTCCTATGAGCTCACTGGTTTATGTTAGCTAACTGTACTCACTCTGCTTGTGCCTAAGAAAACACCCACAAGGCAGTTAGACTTGGTATTCCTGAACCCAGAAGACTCCTCACTATGTCAGCTCATCTAGACATGAATGTTTTCAGTGACTTGCTGTCCTAGGTCATTCATCATTAGAAGATGCTATGAAAGCTAAAATATCCCTAACGGCTCTAGTTACATGTGTCTCAACATAAAGAAAGAAGGTAACTGATGGGGACCCCTACAAAAAATAGTTCATCTGGGATCAGGGTTTTGATTAGTCTTATAAAGGTTAGAATCAATAATGTGTCACTATGCCTCATGGAGTTTAGGATCAATAACAGATGACCTGGCATTATAATTCCATTTCCAAATTACTGAGTGTGTTTGACAGGGTCTTTAGAAGGGGATGACAGCTGTGAAGATGTGTGGACACACCAGACATACAGACATGACCAGAGGCCATGTTTAAGGAGGACACCCTTCATCTGTTTCCTTCCCTAGTCACCTGTGTGACCATGTTATCCTTTTTGAGGCAGGAGACAAAATCCAGGTGCTGAAATATTTTTACTGATTTTCAGTCTTGTTGGAAGCTTTGTAAGTATAAGTACACCTATTATCTGAATCTCACAGTTAATTACTGCATGAAACTTAATCATTATACTGATAAATGTTCAAACACAAAAACATGTTCAAAGCACCTTCCAGAGCAGTTGTGGGGAGTGGAGACAGGAACTTATATTCTAGAACCCTAAACAAATGTGTGATTAAAACTGCTACAGGAGCCCCCTTTCTTACAGATCAAGCAGAAGACAGGACCTCCAATTTAAATCTGAAAGAGATAGCCCATAGGAAACAGCTGCCATGTCTCACTTCCTTACACCTAGCATGTGAGGTAATGGCCCTGGCTAAGCCCTGACCCTCTGAGAACAGAGCTTAGGCCCAGGTGTAGACAGAGCAAGACAGGTACTGTTGTCCTCCTGCTAGGATAAGAAAAGGGCCAATGAAATGAGAACAAATATATAAGAGATTTTGTCTGTGCATGGAAGCAACCCCATTGCTGCTAGAATTAACTTGCAATTTTTCTGATAATGGGCATTCTTGTAGGGAAAGCAAAGACAAAAGACATACAAACTAGCAAAGTAAACTACAAAGAAGTAAACCATAAAAGAATGCTCCCTAAAGGGGCTAAAATTTGGCAGTAAATGGCCTCTAAAGAGTTCCTTCAATCCAAGGGCACACAAGAATAGCCCTGCCTTAAGCAGATGCAGAGATCCACAGTCAAGCACTAGGCTGAGCTCCAGGAGTCCAGTTGAAGAGAGAAAAGAGGGATTCTATGAGCAAGGGGCATCAAGATCATGATGGGGAGACCTACAGAAATAACCAAACCACACTAGTGGGAACTCATTCCTGGTCCATGAGCTGGCTTTTTGGAGCCCACTAACTATGGTGGAACACCTTGCACAGCCTTGACGCAGGGGGAGGTGCCTGGACCTGCCTCAACTGAATGTACCAGACTCTGCTGACTCGCCATGGGAGGCCTTACCTTGTCAGAGGAGGGAATAGAAGGCGGTTGGGGATGGGGGGAGAGGCTGGGGGGGAAGGTGGAGGGAAGAGAGGGGGATCTGTGGTTGGTATGTAAAATGAATATAAAAATTCTTAATAAAAAAGAAAAAATAAAAAAGAATAGCCCTGCCTTAGGACTGAAGTGCTTTGTGCTCAGCCCTGAGGCCTGATTAGGACTGACCAGTGAGACACATATTAGACCAGCCTGCTGCCTGCCAGGCTGCATACCAATTTGTTTCTATCTAATAGGATAAGGCCACCTAGAGGCCTCCACTCTTGCATAAGTAGCAAGATCAGATCGTAATTCTCAACCAGGGACATGCCCTGGAGTCAATCTTGACTATCTCAGGATAGACCAGGTGGAATGTCTTCATAAGAAGGCCGAAGGGTCTGAGTGAGGTAGTATGGAGACATATCTACTCTCTAACTCTGCTCCATGTGTGAGAATCTCACTGAATGGAAATGGAAATACTCCGTGTCTACTTCCAATAGCCCACACCCTTGGTGATAGGCAAAGGTCCTTTTCTACCTAGAAACTAATAGAAGGTATGATGCCACCAGAAAAATAACTCCATTGACACCACTGGTCCAGGCCACTAATCTGTGGCCAGATTGGTCAGCACCAGGAAGTGAGCACCTGGACAAGAAGTTCCACTACCAGAAGCAACACAACCCTGTGCTTCCTGAGGGCTGCAGTCACACACACAGCCTGACTGAAATTAGTGATCTCTACTGGAATGATCTGCCTGGTACTAATCTGTGTTCCCCCAACCAGCAAATGGCATGAGAAGGGCTATATGTGGGCTTTGTCTAATCCTAACTCACACAAAGCATTTTTAAAACTCAGTAACCTTGTGAAATGAGTCAATGGTAAGCAACCATATTACTTGGCGGTCATGCCACAGGCTTCAGATTTGCCTAAGCCTCTACTGTAAAGGAGATAAGCAGATGCAACAAGATTGAACATAGCTGAAAATACAGGTAAGTGGAGGTTCATTATACTTTCATAAGTTTTTATGACTAAAACAACAACAAAAAACAAACAAACAACAAATCCAAACTACACAAGTTGCCAGAAGCTACACAGAAAAGGGGATGCTCAAAGACGTGCAGGGTTTGGGGGTAAGGGGATTACTCACTTCAACTGTGCTGCCCACCAGAACAGATAGATGGCTTTACTGCAGGTAAAGTAACTAACAAGTAACCAAAGTCACACCTACAAGTAACCAAAGGGCAGTGTACATGCCCATCCAGATCTCTGTACCTGGCCATAGAACTTAGTAGTAATGGTTTCAGTGAACAGAAGAATCATAGCCTCACCAGGTGCCTCACTAGAGCTACAGGTATCACTGGGCTAGCCTGAAACACCAGATTCTCTTATTTTCTACTAAGCTCCTGTTTACCCAGCAGCAACAACTATTTCAGGAGTTATAATAGGAACTTTTGCTTCCAAAGCCAACTTCCTTAACAGCTGCCACCAAAAATATTCCAAATTAGTATGCAAACAGAAAGACATTTCTTTTTCCTGGGCACTTAAGAGAAATGTATCAGGACAAACAGGAAAAACCATGGCAGGACTACCAGGAGAGTTCACAGGGGATTGTTGAGCTGAGAAATGTTTAGAAAAGTGAGAGATGCTGGCACTGCCAAAGATGGCCCACTGGGCCCTGACCAAACACCTTTCCTGTAGAAGATTCTGAAATGCCCTTGGTCTGATCAAGACACAGAGGGCACTTATGCTTCTAACTGGCCCCAGGACAAAGTGAGAAGGGAGAGGATGAAAGAAAAGGGGTGGTCACTGTTATGCTGGAAGGAGAAATGGCAGAATTATAGAAGCCATATTAGTGGGAAATAACATACTTTAGGAAAGTAAAACTCAGGATAGTCACAATACACTAGATTATAGTTCATTTTTTAATAAAACTTTTCCAGAAGACATCTATTAACAATCTTTTAAAAGATGAAATACAGAAGAGTTTGGTAAGGGCAAAAGAACAGAAAGTACTATATGAAACTGTTCCAAACTTGAATCTTGGTATAATCACGACAAGTTACAGATGGGATGCAAACATTTCAGTGATTCTTTTGTAAGTAAAAATTCCAGTTTTCTCTCAGACTCAAGGCTAGTTCTGGGAGCCTCTAATTACACTCTGGACAGGTACTATGAATATTTGGTAAGAAACACAGCACACTTTGCATGCCTAAGCCCACACCAAGCACACACGTGCTAAATGCATTTGAGAATGGGCACACACACTTCATAATTTCCCACTGAAGCAAAATTTGGATGGACTGATAAGCCTTTATTATTTATAGAATTGTTTCTTAGTGTTATCACTGTGTCCATGTACTTTGACAAACCGCTACGTATATGCTGCCAACTTCTCCACATCACTGTATTTCTATTTTTCTACTTTAAATTGTTCCAAAAGCCACATTCTCAATTTTGCTCATGATATCATCTCATTTCACAAAAAGTACATGATTTGCATAGCCCTTATCTCATTTTGGATGAAACACTGTGTGAAAGACTCCATGTCACATATAAATCTTCATGACAAAAATAGAATCAAAATATGAACCTGTACAATATAAACAGAAATTTCACATGGACTGGGTTAAAAAAAATCAATAAACTGAACAGAGTAAAACAAAGCTTGAGAGACTCCTATATTCCAAAATGAAATATGCTATACAATTAAGACAAGTGAATTACCAAAACCTGAGAGTGCTTGCTTGAGCTCGTTCTTGTCAATCATCCCAGAGTTGTCCCTGTCATAGGTGCGGAAGACATTCTGCCAGTCTGTGATGTATTTCCACACACCTGTAAATTCACTGAAGTTCACACCAGCCTTGTTTTCTCGGTCAAACATTGCTGAGATGCAGAGGAACACCAGACAAACATTAAGTTTGCATGTTCAACAGCAAAAGACAACCACAGTACAGAACTGACTGTTTCATATCACCTCTAAGGCCTTCAGGTGCTGGCACAGAGCCACCAGCTGGCTAAAGGTTAGTTTGTTGATTACAAGATTCCTAAAAGTCTAGTTATCCCTGCCTAGGGTGGAGGGAGTGTAGAAGACAGTAACCCAACACTAGCCCCTAAGTAATGGCAACCAGAACACACACTCACAGATGTGTAAAAGGTAGACAATTTAAAAAAAAACACACAATGTTTTATACTTCAGAAAGTTCTGAAAAACAGAAACACTAAAAGTACTCCCAGCCTGGCGGTGGTGGTGCACACCTTTAATCCTAGCACTCTGAAGGCAGAGGCAGGCAGAGGATCTCCTGTATGTTCAAGGCCAGCCTGGTCTACAGAGTGAGTTCCAGGACAGGCTCCAAAGCTACACAGAGAAACTCCGAAAGCGCCCCCTGCCCCCCAAAAAGTACTCTCACTTTATCAGAAGGAAAATGGTATGCAAAGGTTAAGCCCCCCATTATTCTAGCTCCTGGGCTTGAGCCAGAATAAACAATTTTACGTACTGTCCACGTACACACCTCCAGAGGGAGGCTCAGAGGAGTTCTCCTAGGGCAAGAAATGCCTTGTTTTAATTAGAAGATGCCCTAATCTATTATCCTAGGACCTCTGGATTTTATTTTTAAGATCTGAATTCTTATTTTTAAAAAAATCAGTTTAATTCTCGATGTGAGCTCTCAGTTTCCTGTTCACGCTGCCAGGCCTGCTGCCTACTGCCAGGCTGTCTACTATTATGAACTTTAACCTCCTGAAACTGTAAGCACAAATAAACTCTTTCTTCTATAAGTTGCCTTAGTCATGGTGTTTTATCATAGCAATGGAAAAGTAACTAAGACACAGGGAGAACCCAAACTGATAATCCTGGTAAGAAAGAAATGATGGAAATCCTTCCTGGAGGACCCAACTTCAGCTCAGGCCTTGGTACATGCATTTTAAATTCAACCAAACACTAGCTTGCAAAACAAAAAGTAACTAAAACATGAAGGAAATCAGTTACATGTATGAAATTCAACAAGAAGAATTATTAGATGTAGACTGCCTTCTTTCCTATAGACTTCAAAGTCATAAGAAACACAAGGTAAAGTAGATATAAGTTAATATATGTAATTCTTAAATAAATGCATTTCTTAAGGTTTAGAAGACAATTACTTATAATACTTAAATAAAAGTCACAAAAATGAAATTTTTAAAAGATACTACCAAAATAACAAAATAAGGCTTAGGGAAAACTGTAATATGAAAATTTTATGCATCTATAACCTCTGAATTAGAAATGGAAAGGACAGGCTAAAATGTAAATTTAAACTAATAAGTGAAAGCATCTAGAAATACGGAAGCAGGGAGGATGAAACGTAAGAGCCCACTCAATATGACTGGGGTTATAGCAGCACCCACAGAAACAACCACCTAGCCTGTCTGCATAGATACTTACAAATGATTGACCTAACAGTCACTGGATTAAATGGAGTCCAAGTACCTGAAAACAAATGACATAATAGCAATTAGACAAAAGAAGATAAACTTATAAGACGCTCTAAGTGACTTGTCTATGATAGTCCATGAGTCAGTAGCCTGCTCTGGAACAGAGGTTGCAAGCAGGGGCCTGCTCCCTGGGACACCAGAAGATCTGGTTGCCTTAACCGATAGGAGCCCTGAGCACTTCTGGTCAGCACCTAGTCTATACTTCCAAGTTTAAACTATTTGTAATTACCAGAGGCTCGATGCTGTATCTCCGCAGAACTTCAGTTGTGCAAATTTCTGGGGAGAGCAGATATGTCAGACTGTGCCCAGGGTCCCAAAGACCACCTTCAGGCTTGACAACTCTCTAGTATAAGACTCACTATAACAGCTCCTTTTACAGAGGGGACAAAGAGTAAAGTAGCAAGGGATAATTGGGTGGAAAACCAGGAATGGGTTCCTAGAATCAGTGAGACATACTCTACTATAGCACAGGCTATCAGCAGGGCAACTGTCTTGAACCTGAGAGTCTATCATTTTTCAGTAGTCAGCCACTAAGCTTCAGCTGTCCAGAGGAAAATAATGCTCTCTGCCACAAATCACATCTTTGTTGTAAACTGCCTAGGCAAAGAAGTCAAGACATGACAGTGCAGGCCTGGGATGCCAGTACTTAGGAGGCAGAAGCAGGAGGATGGAGAATTTGAGACCAGCCTGGGCTACAGTGAGATCCTGTATCAAAAAAAAAAAAAAAAAAAACCCCAAAAACAAAAACCAAAAGAACTTTCAGTGCCCAGGGAAATCCAGCAGATTGAGTTATTCTCCCCACCCAATTGTCAAAGACATAAATAGATCTCAAACTCCCTCTGCACCAACACAGGGCAACAAAGACTGTTGCTGTGGATATCGCTCTGTATAAATAAAACACTGATTGGCCAGTAGCCAGACAGGAAGTATAGGCGGGACTAACAGAGAGGAGAACTGAGGGAACAGGAAGGCAGTGGAGGAGACTGCCTGCAGCCGCCGCCAGGACAAGGAAGATGTAAGGTACCAGTAAGCCACGAGCCATGTGGCAAAGTATAGATGAACAGAAATGGGCTAAATATAAGAGTAAGAGCTATATAATGATAGGCCTGAGCTAATGGCCAAACAGTTTAAATAATATAATATAAGAGTTGGTGTGTTTATTTTCTAAGTGGGCTCTGGGACTGACGGGGCTTGGCGGGAGCTGGAAAGAAACTCTCCAGCTACAGACTGTCACCCATGTAACAAGGCCAATGGTGAGGAAAAGGCATAAGTGATTGAATAATAATTTTACAGGGAATCATCTTGCTTATATGTAAGTGTAATTTGCCTCAGCTTTTTTTATCCTAGAACTCTATTGATAAAAAGTCTCCAAAAGAAATTAAAAAAAAAAAAAAAAAAGACAGTTTTCAAAGTACAACTGAAAACATGCATCTCAAATCACTAATAATATGTTTGGTAAGTCAAATCTACTTCAAAAGCACTAAAAAGAGGTGAGTGTGGTGACAAGTGCCTATAACCCCAGCACTTGGGAGGTAGAGGCAGGAGAATTATGAGTTCAAAATCATCCTCAACTAAACAGTAAGTTTTAATTAAAGTCAGCCTGGGCTACACTTCACAAAAGACTAATCAACAAATAAACACGCCAAAAAGGAGCTTGAGAAAAATTAATTTTTAATATATAACCCAAGAAGTCCCAAAAAAGTTTGTGATACATTATTTCATAAAGGTAAGAGAAATCCTGTGATAGCTGATCTTCATTGTCAACTTGATTGGATTTAAAAATCAATCACCTAGGAGATTAATAAGATATATTTCCATGTTTATGAGGGCATGTCCAGATGGAATTAACTTAAGGGAAAGACCTACCCTGAATGTAGGTGGCACTATTCCATGGGGTGGGGTCCACACAGAATAAAAGGGAAAGAGGAGACAGCTGGAGGAACAGAGGAACACCAGTATTCCTCTTTTTAGGCTCCCTAGCTGCCATGAAGTAAATGGTTCTGTCCCACCAAACCCTCCCCTTCTGGATGGATTGAACCCAAACTGTGAACCAAAACAAATTTTTCTTTCCATGAGCTGCTTTTAGCAGGTACTGCAGTTGCAGGGACGAGAAAATAAATCCCATTCTATGTTCTTTCTGTCCACTGACCATACTTCTATGTAAACAAATCTCACAGAGGCCCAGTGTACCCACAAACACTCCTAGCATGGTGTCAAGTACACAGCAACCAAGAGGTCTAAACTGAAGGGAGAAACCATGCTATTTTTAACTTCATATTTCCTTCCACAACATAATAATTAAATTTCCTAAAAGAGAGAAAGAAGTTTAACAGTTGCCTAAAGGACACTAAGCCCTAATTCAAGTCAGAATCATTTTGAAATCAGTGCCCAAGCTAAACAGGGAAAATCCTTGGCTCATGCTGGGAGCATAAGAACTGGCCCCATGAGTGCAAGGCCTTGCACAGACCTACAAGCTTAATAATCTGTGTGTCCCAAGAGGCTTCAGTGACTATTTGTTTTTGTTTGTATATTAACTGAATACATGTTCCTCTTTACATTAGCTACTAAAAATTTTGAAGCCAAATGTATGGTTATTGTTAACCTTTCATCTTTACTGTCTATTTTCCACCTCTCAGCTATCATAATTAAATTTTACTTTATTTTCTATATTCCGACTATTTGGAAATAGAGCAGATTATCAATGAGCATAAACTCCAGTTCTTTCACAGCTTCACAGAGCAGGTGATACCAGTGTTTTTGAGGTGCTGTCACTTCCTTTCACTCTGAAGCCTTTGTGCTTTTCTACCTTGCTTGTACCAGACGTAGGTCACTAAACACATGCGCCAAACCACTAGGGACCTATTTTTCTGCCTACATGCTGCCATGGACTCTAGGGTCCCCTACTTCTCTTCACTGGAAGATATACTTCATACCACATGGGTGTGGCTGCTCTTGTAGACTTCGATTTTTCCCTGATAACCTGTCAAAGTCTACTTTCCCAATACAGTAATACAACACAGTGGCTAATTTATACAGCATCATTATACCATCAGGCAACAGAAAACCACCATGATTTAAAGTGGTCCCTCAACAACAGCATCTTGTGGTCCCCACAGGTTAAGTAATAAAAATTGTGTCAGTTTAAAGGTCACTCTGAAAATATAAATGAAACAAGAATGCCTAGCATAAGTGGATGGCAGAGGGCTTTAATTTTGATGCCAAGGCTATGAGGCACTATCTAGCATCGCACTTGCCTTCTCCCTTTTATCCAACCAATCACAGGAAAATAATCCCCATTATAACAAAAATAAGCCTTTTAAAATTTTCATCACATCTTGAAACTAATACCTTCCCAAGCTTATATAGCTCACCTGGGGAGAAACAAGCTCTAAATAAAATAATTTGAAAAGACAGCCACACCTTAAGAATTACAAATGATATTTAATAAGAAAAATGTCTCTAGGATCATGGATGTACTCTGTTGGTAGGGTATTTGCCCACTGTGCATATAGTTCTAGGTTCTATGCTCAGTACAGAATAAACCCGAACTCAGTATTTAGGAGTTAGATGCAGGAGGATTGGAAGTTCAAGGTCATCCTTGCCTACTTAGAAGTTCCAGGCCAGCCTGGAGTACATGAGACTGTCAAAAAAAAAGGAAAGAAAGAAAAATGTTGGGGCTGGAGAGACAGTTCAGAGGTTTAGAACATTTGTTGCCATTGCAGAGGACCCACATTTGATTCCCAGCAACTACATGGTGGCTCACAACCATCTGTAACTCCAGTTCCAGAGGGTCAGGTGCCCTCTTCTAGCCTCCATGGGCAGCAGGCATACACCTGGTTCACATACATATAAGCAGGTAAAACATTCATACAAATAAATAAATCTTAAAATTAAATAATTTTTTAAATTGTCTCTAATGGTACCACTAAAGATTAATAACACCAGCAAAAACATGACTCCATGGAGAGCTCCATACAAAGGCCACAATCCTCTCAATTCTGCTGGGATACAAAGTGTTCCTCACATTTACATAAATACCTCCCCATGATCCTGCTGACATCACTTGCCATATATCTATTTCCCAAACTGGCCCCAGAGTTTTAGCAGTTCTTACAGCAAACATATTTCCACAAAAATACTTAAGAACCATCTTGAAACTGTTCAACAACTAAACAATTACTTCTAAATGTCACCTGACAATTTTTCAGTGTCTCTGATGATTCTCTTCAGAGGAGTAGCTAAGATTGATTTACCCAAGTAGGTCAAAGGCCTTCTAGATAACTAAGGGACCTCTGATGCAGAGCTAGTCAAGGCCTACACTGTGGCTCCCATTTCTCAGAAAGCATTTTCTGAGGCTCACATACATTTGGAGCTCAGTGAGGCAACAATAATGATAATCAAGAAAATATGGACACAGTAGCTTAGAAACACCTTTACTTTATACTGGTAATGGCAGGACCTCCTTATTTGGAAATAATTACAAGAAAGAAACTGCTTATTGTGAATAGATCAGGCTTCAACTCACCATTGGATAATGCTTGCTGAAGCTCATTGTCTGAAATCACTCCACTCCTGTCTTTATCAACCCTACAAAATAAAAAAGCCCGGGTAAGTTGGTGATGAAAAGTAAAGGAAAAATAAAACAAGGCTAAAACATCATTTCTATCAACCTACACCAGGTCTGGAATGTTACTCCGGCCAGACCTTTCTCTTAGCTCAGCTGGAATGTCACATGCCCCAAGGTGTGCCAGAGATTAAGGAACAATTTCTCTTAGTTCTTCCAGTCCGTCTAAATTTACACCTGCACCAGTTTATATTATTCGTACTAGATAAAGATTCTCTAGGACAAATAAGTCATTCCTTGGCCAAGAGTCAGTGGAGTGACAATCAGGCGATTCAGAAGGACGATCAGGGACAGAAGACGCTGCAGTAGTAGCCAGCTCTTTTTACTGATGCTGTTTTCCTGACTCAAGATCTGTCTCGTTCCTAAAGCAAGCACCCCAGACCCTGTAGGGCAGCTGGTCCGCGCCCCTCAGCCCTGAGCAAAAGGAACTGCCAACATGACCCCGAGCCTTGTGCTACTGTAGACGACAGGAAGCCGAGTATGGAGCGGGGTAGGAATGACTGCAAGGGAGGTCCGAGGGAAAGAAGGCCAGAGAGAACCGGAGAGTAGGCCGTGGAAACCGAGGACCCTCCCAAGGGCCAGAGGAACCGGGCAGCGCCGGCCTCACCGCTGGAAGACGTTCCACAGGAAGCTCTGGTCTGGCAGCGCAGCTCCGGCAGCAGGGCCAGGGCCTGCGCTCGGGCCTGGGCGGTAGGAGTAGGCCGCCATGGGCTGATGCACAACGGTAACGCGGCCCGGCTCCAAACGCTGCGCTTCCGCCTCCGTCCGGGGCAGGACCAGGAGCCCACAACTTCCTGGGAACAACGGAAGCGCGTGTCTTTGAGTCACTTAGCAGGCGTGGTCAGTTGCCACGCAACGTCTGGAGGGCCGTGCGGCTAGTCTGGGCCCGGCCTCCTCTTGCTAGTGGCACCGAGTGCCTTTCAGCCCGACCCTGCCCCGCCCTCCTGCCCAACCCAGGTGCTTGTCTTGTCCTGGAGCTGAGGTGGATAAGTTCAAAAGAGAGCAGATCACTCCGGGCCAACCCAAGCTTACAAAACGCCTCGGCCTGGGATGGGAAGTGGTGAAAGCTTCACTTGAGTTGATGACCTCCCGTTATGTCTGCATAGATAAGAATGGTGTAAAAGTGATGTGCACCAACCGCGTGAAGTTCTCGTCGGAAACTCAAAATAACATTTTATGCACCTTGGAGTTTGTCCATCAGTCCGTACTCCACTCTCCCGTCTTCCCACTTGCTTATATCGGTTGAACCTCAGCCTCCCTGGGATTGCACAAATAAGTTCGTTTGTGAATGGCCCCAGTAAGGTTTGGTCCCAAAGTGATAAGGTCCTTGGTCTGTGACCTCTACTTGGACTCCTGTACTTAATTAACACTTTTGGTGCTTAGTCCTATAATTATAAACTTGCCTTCCTTCATTCTGGATACTAATTCCATGATGCTTTTATAATTGGAATGCTCCTGAATTGAGGAATGCACAGTATTGGGGCAACTACCAACCTGTTGTGTTCACATTCACATGCATCAGGCTATCCTTCCACCAAGATCTGTGTGCTGTGTACAGTTCAAGATACTACAGTTATTCCAGTTCTGCCACAGGATTATTCCTGCTTTCCTATTCCTCATTCAGTGAAGACCGATTTATCATCATAACTGCTATGCTATCTTTGTGGGTTTTTAGTTTACTTGCTAAGGCTGAACAGTCCAAGGACCAAGAGAATGGCCTTGTACACCTGAAACTTTCTTCCATGTGGACAATCATCCATTATTTAGCACAGCTATAGATCTGATCAATCCCAACTGTATCATTTTCTGTCCCATTTTTCTTGTTCTTGTCCATGAGATTTTCAAATTATTCAAAGAAACTATCTCATAGCTTTGGCATTTACCTAGAAATCTACAAAGTTCTTTAAGGTGGATTTTCTCCCATGATTTAGTGAATTCATTTTTAAAATCTCTCATAAACTGTACATCTCACTTGTTGAATAATCTTTCAGACTTTTCCAGTTCTTTTATTTAGATTCTGAAATCCATTTTTATCCTGTCCTATCTCTGGCTCCTTTTCTCTTTTTCAGAAATAATATTAACAACCATAATTTTGCTACCTGATCTGGAAATTTTTAGTACAAACTTCAGCTGGAAACAGTTACTTCTGCAGACCTGAGACCCATACCTACAGAACCTGGGACTCTACTAGCTGTTTACTGACAAGTCTCCAGCTTGGAATGCTATAAAGGTTCAGTCCCAAGGAGACTACCTTCTCCAACAGCTTACAGGCAGCTGTCTTCCAGGCACCACCATCTATCTCCTTACCCTATCTCAGGTTCAGTTTCCTCCTAACCAGGTCTGTTCTAAGCTTTCCAGGAGTTGAGAAATAAATGAGATAACATTGTCCTCCCTACTGTAATGTTAATCATATCATGTGTCTGCATATTGGGCCAGTCTTTCCTTTAGCCTAATTTCTCTGAGCTACTTTGAAAGTTCTTGTTTTCCTTTAGAACTTTTCTAAACATTGGCCTTTTCTGGGAGCTGGGGTGCTTGATGCATCCTACAATGTTCACCCTTGAAATGGGTGAGTCATTGTCCTATTCTTTGCATAAAGATATTTTTGTGTATTCACTGATGCATGCATGGTTTTATATATATCTAACTTAGCAGTTTACCTCTAAGCCACACTGGTTCCTGTGCTTACTTTCCCAGGTTGATTGCAGCACTGGGCATTTGCACAGGAAAGACAAATCCTTTTACTGTAACATTTCCTTAAATGGCCTCTGGGACAGAGCCAAATGTGCTCAGCATACCCCTTTCTTTCTCGGATTAATGATGAAACGTTGTCCCTTGGCTCCAACATTAGTCTTTGAATTTAGTTTGAAAAAGAACAACCTATCACTTTTTATGTAACTCAGGCTTCTTAGTGAGTATTGTTGAGTCTATCAAATGTGTGCTAGTTGGTGTGAGGACAGCAGCAAATGTCCACACACCACTACTGGCCAAGGATGGACTTGTTCTGATCTGCTTGCTCTGACGTGATAGCCACTTACCACATGAGCTACAGAGCACTGAGATGGATCAGTGTAACTGAAGTAGTTTTAAATTTCAAGTTAATTTAATTAATTAAAACTGTATGCTCTCATGGACTTTTGCTACTAGTGGCTCTCAATGCATAGCATTATATTTCATACAATATGAATGTATGCTTGTTTGTTGCTTTGAAAAACAAACAAAAAGGAAAATGAGAAATGGAAGATTGGCCTGCAGTATTCCAACCAGGACCTGTAATTCCAAAGGTTCTGGTTGCAACCAAGAATTTGCATTTCTAGAATGACCAGGGAATTTGAAAACTAGAATGACAGGGTCCAACCAAAAGGCAGGATAGCAGGTGGAAAGTTGTGACTACTGAGTAACTTGGCCCCATTCAGAAGGTTTAATGAGTATGCAAAGCTATATGAGAGTGCTAGAGTGAATATTCAAGATTAGCACTTGAATTAAAAACATAAGAGACACCTGCAGCATAATAGGGTGATGGTTTTCTCATAGTCACAAATGTAAATGTCTATACTTCACTAATGAACAATGAACCAGAATCTTTCAAAATACAGGTCTCAGAATTTCAAAATGAAACATTTTGTAGAAAGCAACAAACCATGTAAGTAAAGGAAGTTGGGTATCAGATGTGATGTCACCTTGAAGGAAACAAAAAGAATCAATGCTTCATCATAGCCACATGTAGCTGGCTACAGCGACTAGAGTTCAGAAGATCAACCTATCAGAACTAAGGGTTCTGTTAGAGGAAACCATCACACAAGGCATTATGGAATTACTGCCTTTTGAATGAACCGTTTCTTGTTGTTGTAAACTTCTCGTGCAATAACAGCTATGAATCTCCCCATTTACCGTGCATTTCCATGTTATGTGTACATGTAATCTCATGATTGCATCTCAATCTTAGGGGCAAAACTCACCTTATACATTTAGGGTAATTGGATAGCTGTCCCCAGCTGTGTTTATTTTTCATTAACACGTATCTGGCCAGGGCCATTCTCCGGAAAAAAAATTATTTCAGCAAAGATACCTTTTACCAAGGACAAAACTGCCCATAAACAATAGCTCATCTTACCTACAGATAAGAGAAAATAACCACTAGCAATTAAATCCTCAACTCCTTACCTTTACCCTGGAATATTTATACAAGACCCTAACTTAAGAGATTTACTGCTCACATTCCTGGGATGATGTTTTAGCCACTTGCTAATTACTAAGTTAAGGTAGTTACTTCCCACTGACCCAAGTAGATTGCCATCAAGGCCAGGAAGGCAATAGGTGCCAAGCTTCTTTTTTGTTCAAATTAAGTTTTAATTCCTCCTCAACCAGGTGCTATTCCTAGATTCCCTAATTGAGCTTAGCCTTTAGTGACCTTACCAGAGAACTCCCCTTTAGTCACTCCCCTTTTGGGTTGTAATTGGAAGCTGACAATTATTGCTTTATGTGTGGATCCTTATCACCTCCCTCTGCCACCCTGAAAACTTCAAGCCTTGCATTGCTTTGCCAAATAATTACTATTTGGTTATATATACTGGTTCTCTGAGAGCACGTGTGTATATATACTGGCCCTCTGAGAGCATGTGTGTGTATATACTGGCTCTCTGAGAGCACGTGTGTATATATACTGGCTCTCTGAGAGCACGTGTGTATATATACTGGCTCTCTGAGAGCACGTGTATATATATATACTGGCTCTCTGAGAGCACGTGTGTATATATACTGGCTCTCTGAGAGCATGTGTGTGTGTGTATATACTGGTTCTCTGAGAGCACTGGGATTGAGAACAAAGATGAGGACAGAGATAGAAAGAACTAGATAGAGATGAGAGAACAGCAGAAGGGACTGAGAGCAGGAGGGACTGAGAGGAGCTAAGTATGAGAACAGAAAAGAAACTGTGTAGATAGGATTTACTTAGCAGAATAAAGTGAATGGACTAATGAATTCAGTGTGCTTAGATTCATTGAATATCCCTCAGATTAGAATCCTCAGCTGGTTGTTAGACTCTTCCACAGACCCTGGGAATAAACAATATAGGCTGGACCTATTATTGTCTACGTTAGCCGTGTGCTCATGCGTGTGTGTGTGTGTGTGTGTGTGTGTGTGTGTGTGTGTGTGTGTGTGTCTTCCTATATAGCACAGGCTGGGTTCAAACATTTTTTGCATTTCCATTTTTTTTAATTATGTGTGTGTCTGTGTAAGTGTGCACCTGAGAGCAGGTGCCCAAGGAAAACAGAGAATCAGACACCCCTGGTAAAAGTAGTTAGGAGCTACCCAATGT